TTATAAAGATAATAATTAAATATTCTTAATAACTAATGATTATCTTAATTATATTTTAAATTTTTTATATTCAAAATGAGATGTCTATCCCTTATTTAATTATGTTTATCTATAGTTAATTATATAAATTGAAAAATGAAGCTTTAATAAGTTGTACTTACTCACAATTTACTTACTCACCATTCCCTGATCATTTTCGACCGTTTTACCAATCTTTCTCCCAAACCATTTTTTTGAACGTTTGTAAGAAAAATTCGGGTGTTACATGTCATATTTCCTTCTCCTATATAAACTATGTTTTCCCGTTTCCTTTTATAATATATTTCTACAATAATATTGTTGTTTTATTACGATTCTATTCTTGTTGTGATTATTTTTATACACTCACAATTTCTTTTTTGTATTTGAAGTTTGATATAAACTCCCAATATCAAGCAAATGTTGGATATCTATGTATATCAGATTGTGATACTATACACACCATCATGGAAGCTAAGAAATATTTTTTCTGAACTAAAACAAACAAAAGCAACCATACATACTATATCAGGTCCTGGAGACTTGATAGAAGAAATGAGAAATGAACGGTACAAAGTTAAAAAGTGAGGAGCCAAAAGAAATTAGCAAAGAGCCAAAAGAGTGTGAGAGTGTAAGACATTAATGCTACAATATGTTGATATACATGAAGAGTAAGACATTAATCATCTAATTACCAAAATACCCGGAACTCGAAGATTACAAAATGATAATCGATTTGCTCTAAGCAATACAATGACAAAAAGATGCATCAATTGTATCTCGACATTGTCTCTTGATATGGAACTTGAATCAAACAATCAAATATCACACCATCTATGTTGCAGAGTGAATTACATAAGAGCCGACAAGAAAAGAGAAATAATATTCAGTGAAACAAATATACAAACACATGATATGCACTACAAAAAATCAATGTGTTTGAAAGATACAATTACTTTCTAAAGAATTCCTGACCTAATTTATTAATTGTATAAACAATGACAATGATAGACCATTTGGTTGACTATTTCTCAAATATTTTGCAATTGATTCTATGTCATAACAGCCATCAGTTATTGTCACATTGTATGCAAAAGATAACTTACTTCCTACTTGTTTGTTCATGTATCTATATTTTGTTAAGGGAAAACATCAAAATTAGGTGTTCTGTTAGATGAACAAAGGCAATAAAAAACTTGATATGAAGTAGCAATAAGAACTTATATTAACAAACTCCCAAGGAGAAGGAAAGCTTGCTTCTTAGGATCTAAAGGTTGAGCACTTGGTCTGCTCATTGTGAACCCCTGGCGACAAACAGAGGAAGAGAAAATGATGAATTTTTTTAGAGAGAAACTGAGAAAAAAACTAATAATAGAAACTTCAAATGAGAATTAGGGAAGAAAGCCAGGGGGGAAAAGAAGCGGGAGTGAAATTTTAAGGAAGAATTTGTAGGAACAAAGGTGTTAGATCAAATACTATTGTATCTGAGATCACAGAGCTTAAATACTAAGGAGGTCAAAGCATAAAGTCAATATATCAAGATTAACCAACTTAGAGCTTAATTGTAGTTTGGCTTCTTGTATGTTTAGTCAATGATATAAATAACATGTGTTAGTTTAATTTGTAGTTAGAACTCACTGTAATACATTCTAGAGAGAGAAGTTAGAGAGAGAAAGATGTATTGAGAAAGTTTATCAATATACATGATAATTTGATATCTAGATTGTTGTTATTGATTGTTTATTTCATTGTTATCTGATTGAAATCGTGACTAACAAAAGGGGTTAATACTTAATTCCCTCATTTTTGAATAAAAAAGAATACAACTTTTGCTTAGATTTTTTGAATGCGGCGGTGATTTGCTTTAATTTTCTTGAAAAAAATACATCATGTAATTTTTTTTATTTTAATGAGAAAGTATTTTTTTTAAATAAAGATAAAAATGGAGTATTTTTTTATAGAAATAAAAATGGAGTATTATGTTATATTAGTAATACTCCATGATTATCATATATGTGTTTATCAGTTTGTTATCAATTAAATTTTGGATATCAAAGCTTTTAAGAAATTATATGTCTGCAATGATTACATCTAAACTTGAAATTTAAAGGATTACATTCATGCTTATTAAGTAGTATCTAATGTTTGATAAGTTATTATTAGAACTTTTATCTAAAATACAATAAAAGATTGTTTTATATATTTAATTTACTATTTGGTGATGATAGTAATGATTTATTATATCAACTACTATATCAGAAAAATTTAATGAACTTTTATATTTTAAATGATTAAGTTCTTGAATTGTTTTAAATGAATAAACCATTAAACTTTCTCATTTTGAATGATTAAATTCCTAAATAGAGCAATCATGTCCTCTTTTATGACCATGATCGAGTAGTTAAAAGTGACCAACGATGAGCAAGAGGAAGATATCGAGTAGACATAACATGGAGCAACAAATAGATAAGAATAAATGAAATACAAACGGTGAATAGTCAAGTGTTAGTGATCCAAGGAAATCAACAATAAGAACGATGAATTTGAAGAGAGAGTAGTGAATAGAAAGATCACAGACGAGTAAGAGACAAAAATATTCAGAATAACCCTTTAAACAAATAAAATATGACGTGTTGATATTCTTATTTTTAGGTTATTTTTATTCACCAACAAATTACCAACAATATCTTTTAATTTCAAAATAATTTTTTAAATATGTCAACAATAAATTAAAAAATTACCAAATGGATTATCGACGACCTATGGTTGCAATGGGTCATATTGAGTGCTAATGAGTTGTATTGGGTTGTAACATGCCATATTAGATGTAACGTGTCATATTATATTATGTTAGGTTATAATGTGTCGTATTGGGTTCTGGTAGGTTGCAATGGATCGTAATAAGTTTGTAGGGTTGTAATGGGTCGTATTGGTGGTAATTGATTGTATCAGAACGTATTGTGCCCCAGTGATTGTAAAGTGTAGTAATGGATTTTATTGGGTTGGAATAGGTAGTGTTGGATTATGTTAGGGCGTAATAGGTCGTATTGGCTGGTAATGAGTGTAAGGTTCATATTGGGATATAATTGATCGTACCAAGTTGTACAAAGTTTTATTGGTGTTGATCCAAACTCTCTCAATGATTTGATGATGACCCTCTCTACTTACTGAAATATACTTAGTTTTATTATTGTTCAATTTCAGCGATCATCACCGAGTCTATTCAGTGATTGCTGAAACATGTATTGTAAACAGTTCTAGAACAAGTATTCCTGAAAGACAAAACTTACACCAAATAAACCTTTAGCGATGCCGAAGATATAGCTGAAGATAGAGACAATACATTCATGATCTAAAACAGATATTCAGTGATAACAAGACAGTCTACAACAAGTGTGAAGTCTAATCAAGACTAATGATAGCTGAAGAGGTCCTCATTGATTCCTTACTATTACTGATCAAAGAGTCTTGCTCAACAAGATTAGTTTTTGTCTTTTGCTTATTAGCACAAAAGGACAACCCCCATGCTTTACACAGAAAGGTACATGTACGAAGCTGCTTTATTGTCTTCAAACATGCTTACCAACTTTGTAAAGTCAACTATTCATATGTGGCCATAAGCCTACATATATAAAGACAAAGAAAAAACTCTCCAATAGAAATTTTTCATGTGACTTGTACCCTCTGACATGCATTAAACACAATGAGTATAAATAGCTGAGAAGATTCCACTTCTCAGCTACGCCTTCTTCTTTCTCTAACTTCTCTTCTTTTTGTTCTTATCTTTTTTGAACGTCTACTTAGTGATTCCTATGGATTGTTTAGATTCGGTTTTACTTTATTTTATTCCGCAACAATTTATAAATTCTATATTGATTTTCTCATATCAATAAACGAATTTAGAAAAGTAAAATTTATGTGTTTGTATTCAACTCCCATTCTACAAATTGTTATACATATAAACTCTTGTAGAACCCTTATTGGGACTAACAAGTGGTATCAGAGCCGTGAAATCCTTTCTTTTTATAAAATCTTTCTCTTACCGTTTTCCAAAAATGGCTTTGGGAAAAACAAACACTAACTATTATGACAATAGCTCTCTTGCCAAACCTCCTAGATTTAGCAGGATCAAGTTTAGTATCTGGAAAAATCGAATGTCTTTATTTATAAAAAGTGTGGATCATGAGATTCCATATTATGTTGAAAATGGATCATATATATATTTTTTGCATACCCATGGATTAGCCAGTTCCTATTTGGAAGGCTGCAATTTCTTAACTAAAGGATTATTGAATCCTTGCCTTGGAATAGGAATAAATGTAAGAAAACGAATTAATTGTTTGTTGGCCCCATCAGTCAAATAAAATTAAAGATCATTTATTTGGGAGGTTCCTATCCCTGTCATGTTCCTTGGATTATTTACAAGTGGTATTCAAGCTCTTATTTTTGCAACTTCCCGTCGATGTGAGCTATTGGGGAAGATCAGCTTGTTATCCCTCAGTGTTCGTTCCACCGCTACCTGTTAGGACCAAAATTGATTGTAATTATTGTAAAAGTTTTATCAAAGCAATCGGG